CTAACATGCTGTTATCGTGGGCTAATGGAGTTAAACTTGAATTCTAAAAGTTTAAGTGGGCTGCAAGCGTTGAAAAACGAACCAAACGTTTAATGCAGTTAGGTGATGTTAAAACAGAAATTTAGGCAAGATTGGATTAGTTGTTGTAAATTTAAAATTTAATAACTTGCAACCGTATGTTGTAAACAATTTAAAGTAACTTTTTGCCTTAAATTTTAAAATTGAGTTTTTTCATAAATTATGTTTAATAATTTTAAGTTAACTGTATTTTGCGTGCATAACTTAAATCCTTTTTTGTCTTTAATTCGCAACAATTGTTGTTTATCTATTAACTTTATAAAAGCATGTAATCTATACTATGTGTGACCTTTAAACACGTCCATAGGATGTACGCGCCCCCTCGGATAAAAACGATGATAAAGCGGTGCCGGAAGAGAGTAAATCTACCCAAATACTAATCCCAAATTCTTTTCGCCTGTTTTGAGGTAGAAAAAGAAGGATTTGCAGTTACTCTGTCAACTTAAGAATGACATCAACTTTAACGTGCCAAGTTTATTCGCAAACGTGCCAATCGACTGTACTTAAAACGTATTTTAGTGCACTGTAGTACAGTACAGGAAGTGTTCTATAGTTTTGGTGGAGGAAATTCGATTGAGAAATTTGATTATTTTTAGTAATATTCTTTATGTTATTAAAAGTTCCAGCAGAATAATAGTAACTGACAATTGAATTATGTGCTCAAAATACAATAAAATATTGCAGTGCAATAGTTTAGAAGTAGAAATAGAATAGTTTGTAAACAATTAAAGTTTATTTTGTAGAATAAAAATCTTATATACATTATACATTGTCTGGGTTGCCCGTTGACTGTCACATTGTTGGCCTGAAAATACGGTAGAATAGTCTCACAGTTATAGCAAAGCGAATTCTAAACCGGCTAGTGGGTTTAGACTGAAAAAGTTGGGTTAGTACAGAAAAAAATATGTTCACCAGCTTTTTGTTACGTTTTATGATCGTCCCAGTGGTTAACTTGATTTCTTTGTGCATGGTCCAACTGTATGAGAGAAAATAAAGCGACCGTTTCCTGTAAAAGCTTTAATTAATGATAAAAAAATTAAAAAGTATTTGACTAACGCATTTACATCTTTTATAATATGACCGTAATTTACAACAATATAATTGTGAAATAATAATAAATTATAGTTAAACCCCAAAGATTTGCTTTACGATTAACGAAAAAGGCCAACGCAATTTTAACCATAAAAGTTCAAAGAACCCTCCACATATTAAGAGACATAAACAGTTTGAGACAAACATTAGAAATTAATCAAAAACACTACAAAAACAAACTTTTTTCGAAGAACATTTCAAAAACAACCAATTAAATGTACATGTTCGTTTCAATTGTACTTTAATGTACTGTTCAGAGCCATTGAGTGTGCCTATGATCCCGAATTGTAACATTGTATAATCACGCAAGAATTTGACTAATTACACTGTTACCATGATACCAAACTATCACACCGTGATATCTAACTACTACGTTGTAATATGGTACGGTACAAAGTTAATTTGGGAAAATGAAAAAAGTGATAGAGAGCTGGCTAAAAGTACAAACGGCAAAAAAACTTTACAGTGATTTTTTTTAAACCAACATCATTGTTTCTGGTCTCAATGTTCTGAACAAAACGAAATTTTAAACTTGAAAATAAATCTTTTTTTGTTTACTGTAAAGGTGAACTTGCTGCAGCACGTACGCGGAATCAAAAATATCAAAAAAATTCTTGTATTTCCGTTATGAGAGATGCGCTTACTAAACCCATAAGAAGATCCTAAATGCGCTCTAGTACGAAAATAAAGAAATCCAGCTGTTTTTGAGGCGCCCGCTAAAATGTTTATTTACAAGTATTGTGACTTTACGACCGACTTGACGCAAAAAATCTTCAAAATTAGAATGACAAATCTTTTAAATCGTACATAGACAAAACATACGTGTGTGCGATCAGACAGGATATGTTAATGCATGCTCAGAAGAAATTAACATTTTTATTTATTTATTTACCATTTTTCAAGCGTCTACAATTGAAAATTTGTGAGATATATATTAGATACGTGGGTGAGTTAATGCCGTAGATTGTAACGTATTGTGCTTATGTTCAAGGATGTAGATGAACTCTAACGGAGCTATTCTCCAATTTTTTAGACCTTTCCTATAATTCTTCTCTCTAGGTTATTCACAATGACCCGGGTCACTGAGTCGTAAGAGGTGCTCCATACGATTTCTGCTTTTATTATGATCAGATATTCGTGTAGGCCAACTATCGATGTGTCTAGTCCACCATCCATCAACCACTACCCCATAACTCAAGACGCCTAAGGCTACGTTTAGCATTTTACACATTACAAAAAATCTTTTCCGAGACAAAATATTTTTCCTAGATCATCTAAATTTCATATTACTTATCTGTGTTTGCAATGCACCTAACTTGTTACGGAAATACGTAAGCAAGCTTACATACAACGCACTAGGGTATATAATCTTAGAATTTAAGAACAACTTACAGACTGTGCAAGCATAATCCACCAAAGTCCTATATATTTCACCAGTTCGTATTACATACACTTAAGACCAACGTCTTAAGTGTAAAGCTTAGGCTACGTAGATTTCGCCATAACATAGCATTATAGTTGTTATGAACAAATGACTCATAATGGGCATTATTTACTACAATTGCATGGCATTACTATGTTATGTTTGGAAATAGCTGATTATGTCACTTAACAAGATGCTTACTATTAATGTCACAAAACACTCAAAACATACAAAAATACTAGAAAACATCGTATATTACAACATATTTGCATCTTATACCTAATCTACCGGAATTAACGCAAAGGAAATTACACAAAAACATATATTTCAGGAACATCGTACGGTATGTATAGAAGATTATTACAATTTGATGGTAGAGAGTTAGCTAAAAGAGTAAACATATCAAATACTTTATTTCTACACATTCATTACGTTGTGTATTGCTAATTATGCTTAATACGATAGGTGATGACTTACATTAGGCCTAATACCTTACAACTTTGGTGACTTAAATTAAGCTTCTATACGTTACAATGACCTAGGTTGGGTAAAAAGACCCGGACTTTTGTTTACTACAATGGCATTAGCACGTACATTAGCAATAACATACTAACGTACAATGATTACATTAAAACGTTTTAATAAGGATTTACTTATGTAAAACCTGTGCATACGAATTTTTGCCATTACCCCATTTCTCGTCATGTGAATGCTAATTTCTTGTCGTAACCTTAAGATTTTACTTCATAAACATCCTGCATTTCAAAAATGTTTATCATTAACGGTCAGCCAAGACTTGTGATGCTAATTACACAACATTAACAACTTTGAAAATGTAATCACACAAAATTAACAACTTAAAAATAATATAAACATATTAACCTTAACCATATTTTATAACGAATTTGTCATCAACTTCCTCAAGACCAAACACTTAATAACCTTGAAGCAAAAACTTGATTTGGAAACTTCCAGAACGGCTTGGTGGAGGGTTCTATGCACGTGCACTTCAACCAGTAAGGATTTCGTAACACTGAAACTGTAAGCACTCGTATTAGAGTTTGTGGCCTACGCTTTAATGGTATTTAGTAGACTTTGGCTTTACTGTAGTGTGTGGAAAGTTATGTGCAAAGTTATTGTGCAATATAGCAACAAAATGTTTGTTTATGAAAAAACCAACTACAATATTTTTTCTTGCTTGTCGTGCTATTCAGATGTTTTTAATATAACATGTTAAAACCAGAAGTCAGATGCTGTCATACAACCAGTAGTCAGAAGCTGTTAATAATGAGGGTGTCATACTATAAAGATCTTGATAGCTTCGTACTATCGAGACGTACTACCTACTCCTGGTTCTTGATGTTTCTCCTAGCCTCAACAAACAAATTCGTGCCAAAACGCCAACGCCTAGTAGCTTAATCTTTTCCTCGAATCGGCTTTGCCTTGACCCAATACGGTAGTACGTTTTTACAAACTTTACAAATTTGTTACACTTGGTAGGTACGTCGTTAAGCTGCAAGAGTCTTCTAAACACTTGTTAATGCTTGGTCCTACTTATTAATACTCGTTCGAGCGTGCTCTTGTTTCAATGCTTATTGACGATTTTACGAAAAATTAAAAGAAAAATTACGGTTAGATTCTAAATTAAGACGTCAATTTTGGTCAAGCTTGAAAAATCATGACGAGTGTGCACAGTTCATTAGGTTTTGACTATACAAAGTGGTGCACAGTATGTTCCGTGTTAAATCTGGAAGGCAAAAATATTTTTTTAAGTTACAGTATCTTGACAAAAATTTTTTTTAAACTTAAAAAATGGTCTTAGAGTATCTATAATTGCCCGTCTTGTCTAATTTTTCAAAACTACAATATTGCCGTCAAAAATCCATCGTTCAGGGCGGTACAAATCGTTTGTCTGAACCATCCCACTTGTGTACATTATTGCAATTTCGAAATTGTAATCCGTATTTTGACTTGTTTACAGCCCAGTCTTAAATTATTTATTTTTATTTTGATTTGCACCGAGTTCAACCTCCGGCCGCCCTTGTCGGAAAAAAAGACATGGCCACGCCCCCCCCTTCCCCCCCCGCGGTCCGGAGGGTGGGACGGCCGCGAGCACACCTATATAAGTGTCGTGCTGGCTTTAAACGGCATTAATCTATTGACTTTTGGTAACCGCTACCAAAAACATGAATTCCAATACAGTTTCGCTTTGCACTATTGCTTTCGGACTACTGTAAGTTTTTGTTTTGTTTTGATAACTTTTTTTTGTAGTACGTTTTTACATTAATTTTAAAAATTTGTTAATACAGTATCAAATTATAATGTTATTCTTTACAGTGTCCTATTCTCATGCCTGACCACAACAACGGCATCGCCAGTGCACTCAAAACGTCGCCACGTTAGCCTAATGGACCGTCTCGGTTCCAGCTACAAAAATCAACCAGAAACCCAAGAGCGACGTCGTTCAGTCCACAAACCTGAACGCATTCTACCAATCCAAGCTACCTTCATCAAGGCTACCGCTCGTACGCCAGCTACACAAAACCGCGCTCATGTTATCGGATTTGGAGTTCAGACCAGTCCGTTTGAGCGATTCAACCAGAAAAACATGCGATCGGCCATGAAGAACATCTTGTTGAGAATGAACTAGATCTTCATTTACAGTTGAGTACTGGAGTGTTTTTTGTGCTATACTGCATGACATTCAGTACTAGTATCGTACTGACGTGGTTTTATGGTTTCTGAATTTTTCATCTTTTACCTTCCATCAAATGACCATCCAAACTTACTACGATATATGGAAAATCGACAACATCAGCCTGAAGCTTCAGTACTACCCCATTAGGAACTATAGTTACGTTTAGGTTAACTTACAAATTTTTTTGCAACATATCAGTCTTGTCTCCCTATTCTACAAATCATAATCTGTTCTTTCGAATTGTTACTGTAATCCTCACCGGAAACTTAATGTAGAATACCTTCGATTAGACTAATTATTTTCTTAATTGATTTTTTTAATCCTATTTTTGTTCTTTTGCTGCATTGTACCTCAACTGTCGCATTGTTGCATTCATTTACGGGTTATTGCATGTGTACCTCAGACTTAATTTATTACGTTGTTACCTAATGTATTTTATTGCAATAATAAAAGATATTAAAATTATACTGATTGGATTAATGGTTTTACGTATGTACATTAAAATAATGGCTTTTTAATAGAATGATTTCGAAAAGCTTTTGTAAGATGATTAAAAAAGCTTCTAGTAAAGTATAATGCAGTTTCAATACATTATCGTAAACTCATTAATAATATTTGATATTGCCTTTGTATTTTATGAAAACATATTGTAGTGAACCTTTTTGCCCAAAAAATACCACAAGAAACAGTAGTTAAAACAAAAGCCATAATGTAGATGTACGATACTTGATTCAAGATTTAACATCTTGAATTAAGTACCGTACCAAGGAACTGTCAACAACCATAAATGTTAACACCAGATTACCACCTCGTGACAAAACGGGTATTAACATTGTTAAGAGAATATGTTAATGTTAAGAAAGTATTAACCCACTTGTGAAATACCAAGTCAAATTTTCGAGTCATTTGTTGTTAAAGGTATTAGTGGGTGGTAAGGGTTGATTGATAACTCATGGTCTTTAATATTTTACAAATATTAGAAAAAAGTGGTACATTAACATAATAGGTGAAAATTTAAGTCTAATAATATAGGTAATCTAATGAATGATTTGTTTTGGAATGTTCTGCTTTGTTCTTTAAGATAAGTAATGAGATAAGTAATAACATTATTTTTATGTTACTCATTGTTCAGTAGTGTGGATGTTTTGTCTGTAGAAGATTCAATGGGTTAGTATTATTTGTTAATCGTACTGAACTCGTGCATATTTTGAAAAAAATTAATAAAATTATTTTTTATAGTAATAATCATACGGTATTACGATACAACTTATTCTGGAAGTTTCAGCGGGCTCATCAAAACAGCATGATGCCAATAATAACCATTTCCTAAGTGGCTCTCCTACGGCTTTAATTTTTGAAGCTTTACGAGGCTTGTTTTGATAGCAACTGTGGGTGAAATCACTGTACGCCGAAGGGTTTTGGATTTAAAAAAATGTCTGTGGTGATTAACAAAATGAAAACATTCATTTACGAATATTAGTCATCCCAATAAAGTCTTCGTTTTACAAATTAAATTTCAGTCAAACTTAGGTTGGTAATAAAAATTTAAGTTGTATAAACAAAACTCTCTTTTGACTAACCCTATTATTAATAGTTTAATTTTTGGCCAAACTTAACTAAATTACAGGCTTTTGAGGACGATAATCTTGTTTACAATACAATTAAATCCACCCTCAACAAATATAATTAATACAACTCTAGTCCTTCTTTGATACATATCACAAGATGGAGGTGGTAATGTAAAACATACAATACCGCATTCCCACAAACCTAGTCTATCTTGTAGTGTAACTACAATAATATAGGTACATCTTCATTAGTTTTGGTGAACTCTTGTTATAGTTTCTGTTTTGTTAGTAACCCACACGGAAATACAATCGTTAGTTCACAAAGTTTGTCGACAACTTTGAATCTCTTCGTCATGACGTAAATATATTCGGAAGGGAGCACTCCCATTTTTCAAACGCAGCGCAATTTACAATTAAATTTTTACGCCACAACTTCAAATTCAGCATTAGCATATGCCTTAGAATCGGTTAACCCACGTTCAATCACTGCGCATGACCTTTCTCCACTTCAGTCTTTAAGAATCTCACTTGCAGATTTGCTACTACAAACAAGATCTGCACTCATAACACTCATTTATACGTTGTAGAAACTATCCAAAAAAGTCGACTAATAGTACTTATAAATAAGGTATACTGCCTAGATTAATTTAAAAATACCTTTCTACTTTACAAAAATGATACCCTACACAACAAAGGACTGTAAGAAACATTAAATTTTAAGTTGTAATTAATCGTTGTAGGTTTCGCACACGTTGCACTTTATCAATAGGCCAATTTGGCAACATCTTTTAAGTTAATTGTTCTTACAATTAACAATTTCTGATAGTACAGTTTCCAGCGAAGCTCAAGGCTTTCATGGTACCATACAGGGTTATTTTCACAATTACAGATACCTTACACTGCTCGTTAATTAAGTTCTCGCCAAAACAAGGATCTTCACATCAGATAACGTCATTCACAGTTACCGTTAAAAATTAAAATTCGTTAAAAAACAAACCACCTTAACCCACTTCACTATTGGTGCTTCAACTTTAAAAATTGTAATGACTACAAACAATATTGTTTAACAGTTTGTTTCTCTTTAGTTTTTGGTACTCAACGGTAGTGCACTCAATGATAAAATATATGTTATTGAGTAGGTGCTACAATGCTGGAATAACTACAAAATGTTTAGTTCCTATGTGTTAAGTTGGCATATACAAATACTATGTTTTGCTTCAAAAACAATAGAATGCACTTTTATAATTTGAATCTATTGTAGGTAGAAAATGTAAAGATTCAAACTAAGTACGTTTAAAAAGTTAATAAAGTAAATTTTAAGTTTAAAAACGTGTTTAAGTTTTAACAGTGGGTTAGATAGCATTTTTTATAAACTTAACTTAATATTAGGTACTTTACAACTACTTTATAACATAGTTACAAAGTTGAAAACTACAAAAAACAAAAGGACACATTACAGCAAACAAGATGCCACAGAGTACTACTGCACGCATACGCTCAGACGTTTAGCATACACTAAAACTAGTAGAAAATTAACAGTGCATAGTTTTTTAACACTAAACGCAAAACTTTGGCCAAAATTTAAAACTTGCAAAAACTTTCTAATCATAGACAATGTTACACTACAAAACTTTAGCTAAAATTAACAAGTTTTTGTTATATTACAGCATTTTTAAAGTTTAAACTTTATAAATTGAAAAAATTTTTAGAAAGGTACTGTAGTCATGTTGCGAAGCCTCATTAAAATAATACCGTGTTTATTATATAAACACTATTGAGATCTTTAATATTTTGCCCGCCGCTTAATGCCATGTTATGGGCTCTCCAAGGTTTCAATCTAATTGTCAAAACAAGATTTTGCCATAAAACTCTTTTCAAATTTCTCTTTCATTAAGTTTTAATCCGAACATTGTCCTTTAGAAATGCTTGTAAACAAATTAATACTTTTAATCAGAAATCTGACAAAAGTACGGTAATTATAAAATTGAAAAGCTAACAAGTCCTTAAAGTATTATTGTCCATGCTATGTTTTCTAACGCTTAGTACTATTTATAAAAAACTTAATTTTGTTTGTGATACCTGAATTTTGCTTACAAAATAACCTACCCATTATTTTGCACTAAACGTCATTCTAGCAATAATAAAACTGTTTGTACACAACATCAATACAAAAATAAAAATAATTACACTTCCTTGCATTTCTAAGTAAGCAAAAGTTAGTGGCGTTATCCCGACACATAAAACAATTTTTTTGTAATATTTTAAAAATTTATCTAGAAAAATAAATACACATTATTTTGATTTTGGTCGAAACATTTTGTGGAAAAATATACGGTACTTCTTTTTCGATCGGAGATGTTTTTGCGTGTTTGCCGAAAATTTGACGATTTATTTATTGCTGAAACCATGTTTTTTTGTTTTTTATAATATTGTTTCCAATTTGTTTTCTTAGTTTGATGTTAATATGGCATTAAAACATCTATTTTAGGCGTTTTTGCGATGGAAAAAGTGGTATATTTATCTGAGTAAAATATTTCCTTCAAATCGTTGTATCGGGGTTCAACATAAAAAGTATGAATTCATATTCTACAAAAAAACTGCCAGGAATCTACCTTAATTAACTAATACTACAATTTCGTCTTCTTATGTTCCTTTTATCAAATAAATAAATAATTGTTTATATTTTTTTTTCTAGATCTTATCTTTTTTTAAGTGCAAAAGGTCAATCTACTACTTTTTAAATTTATCTAGTTTGATGAGCAACAACCAAAGCAATTAAAATGAATGCCATAATGTCAATTATTTTTATTGTTTTTAAAAACGTAATACCTTTAAATAGTTTTTCATTGAAATTAAGTATGCTTTTGACAGTACGGCCTTTCACCAGAAAGCTGTAAACAATTTAAAACTGTTTCAAAAATATCTTGACATTTTTGTATATTAATAAGGTGTGTCGTAGTATCTGTTTATAGCACAAAAAGTTGTAGGTAACGGCTATGAGTTCTTAAATTTTATCTACAGTGAATTATTAAGAGAAAATTGTACATTCTTTAGTTTTAAAACTGTTGGACTTTAGTGTCTATATTGTGATACATTTATTCTAAATGTCAGAATGACCAATCAATCCGGGTTTTTTGATAACATTGCTTGACGACAAAAACATACTGACTTCTCAGCATGTGACAAATAAATAGTAAACAAAATGACAATTACGGTGCATAACTGATTAGAAATGTTTTAGCAACCTAGAATATTTTAAGCCACTACAAACAGTAAACATTAACCGTCCAAAAAGTTTTCCTGTATTGTTTGTTATCGTTGGAGAAAAGCAATTATACTGGAATGTCTAATTACAAGTCTTGTCATGTATAATACCATTGCATT